ACATTCAAAACTAATAGCTGAATTATATAATCAAATTAAAGAAGTTATAGTATAAAAGCTTAATAAATATGTTATTTCTTATTTTATAATAATAAATTTATAGACAGTTTAAAATAGAAGTTAATATATTGATATTATATGTTTCTTTATTGATAATCATTTTAATTTTTATGAAACAATTTTAATAGTTTAATATATATCTTACTCTAATACTAATGATAATATTTGTATTATATTATTTTTAATGAAATTTAATGATAAAGTCTTTACAGTTACTATACATTGGTCAAAATCAAAAAAATTGAACTGATTATTACCTATACTTATCATAAATTTGGTAGCTAGCATGAAAAGGTATACAGCTGTACTTATAGAATCAGATAGTGACTACATAATATATTAATTTTAGTTAGTTGGTTATGTATTTTTTAAATAAAAAAAAAATTTTGAATTTACTTACTTGTAACCAAAGTTAGAGGCGGTTAGATACTTATGACTGCTACTGTATAATTCAAAAATTTGCTTAACATATTTAATATTATATAAAGATATATAAAAAAAAAAAATATTAGATAAATTATTTATTTTAAAAATTTAATTTATAAAATATATAAAATTATTATCATATATTTTAAATTTTATTGGTTAAAAATCATATAATTTATTATGAAATTATTTAAAAATTTTAGACTATTTTTAGTATAGATAAAATATATTATAATACATTTTGTTTTTTCTAAGGTATGTTTATTTCTTATACTATTTATGATTTTTATTTTATTATATGATTATTAAAATAATATATATTATAAACTTTATTTTTAAGATATATATAATAAATTTAGTATATGTTATATAGAAATTTAATTAAATCTATCAGTAAAAATAAATAATCAAAAAATTCAATATAAAAGTAACATTTGACTTTTATATACATTCTAATTATTATAATTTAAATTATAGATTTAGAAATTGAAAAGACTATTTAAAAATACTGAAAATTTTATTTTATTAATAATATTATAATTAACCTAACAATGTATTAATAACATTAAAAATTACTTATAATTTACAAATTTAATATAATAATTAAGAAATAATAGAAAAATTTATTAATATAAAATAATTAATAAATAAATAAAATAAAATATAGTCAAAGAATAATCAAATATATAAGACATGTGATCAAGAATTAAGAGAAAATTCAGATTTATTATGTAATAGATATTACCTAGTAAAGAATTAACTAAAAAGAATTTGAGAAATTTTAGTATTTTTAAATAATATATTCTTTAAAAGAAGAAGAATATATGGATATAATATTATCTTTATTATAAGAAATATTTGAGAAATTATTAAATAAGTTAAAGAAACCTAAAATATCATAATAACTTTAATAATTGAAAAATAAAAGTATCAATAAATTCAAAATTTAATTTAATAGGAATATCTAAAAAACTTCTAAAAGAATATTTAAAAATCTTTAAATGCTTTAAAATAGAAGATAATATCATTAAATTAAAATCTTTACACTAAGTAAAAGTATATCAAAAAAACAGATTGATTTGTTAAAAAATAGATAACAATTTTCAATAATATTTATTTTAATTATATATTTAAATAAAAATGAGATAATATAACAGAAAAAAATATACAGACATTGTTAAAAGAAATTAAATTAGACTTAAAATATATGGATTTTAATTATATTTTTATTGATTTTAAAAAAACTATATTAAATATTATAATATAATAATAAAAGAATAAGATAAAAAAAAATCTATTAAAATATTTAAATTTATTAATCAATATAGAAAATAAAAGTTCAGCTTTTATAAATTTTAATATCACAAATTAAACTTTTTATAATTAAAAAGGTAATAAAATATTTGTAATAAATATTAGGAATAAGTCTAATAATCTAATTGAGAAATTATTAAGATAATATATAAAATATACATAAGTGTTTAGTAAAATAAAGAAAAGAAAATATTAAAAAAAAAAGAAGAATGAAGAAAATCTAAAAAAAAAAATAAAGTTATCACTACATTTTCTTTAAAAATTGAGAATTTATTATTTAAGAAGAAAATCAAGATCTAATCAAAAAGCTAAAAAATTTTAAATATCTATGTAGAATTAATCAAGTTGTAGAAGATTATATTTATAATATATTACCTAACTACTTAAAGAAAATGTTTTAATCTGATTAAATTATAGATGCTTACTAAAATTTTCTCAAAATAATTTTATTATATTCTTTTTTATGTTTCTAATATAGTTTTAACAGTTTTAGCTTTTATTGTATTAAAAGAATTTTATCATATCTCTTATTATAATTTTAATATAGTTTTGTCTAAGTTTTGACTATTATTAAAGGATTTTATCCTTTATCTATAGATTCAATAAAAGTCATATTATATATTAGAAAAGTAATTTTGTATAGAATTGATCCTTTATTTATCTATTTAAAGAAAATAATAATAAAAATATTAATTATAAAACCTGAAATAATGAAGTGATACTAAATGTTAAAATTGTATACATTTTCTAAATTTTATAAAATATATAATTTATTTATTAATTTTAATTTTTAATATAATATTATAACTTTTGACTTAAAGTTAAAGATTACTATTTTTGCATTTTACTTTATATTAAAAATAATAATAGAGCTACAACTAGTTATAACTAGTTATAAATAAGCATCAAAAGGTTGTAATTAGTTGCAAAATGAACAAAAATTGAGTTACAACTAGTTGCAATAATGACAAATAAGCATTATATAGTTGCAACTAGTTGTAGCGTCATTTTTAATTAAGAAAGTATAAATTTGCATCTTTAATTATATAATTCTAATAATTTTATTTTTATTGGTTATTTTTAGATATCATAAAAATGGTTTAAAAAATAAAGACTAAATGTAAAAAATTAAATAATGCTTTATTATGCTTAATATATTATTATATTTTAAATTTATTTACACTTTACTACTATGTTTTTATCTGAAAAATTAAGAGCAAAAATTTAAGAAATGGACTAATTTAGAATTATATTCTCAGAATATATTAATAAAGTATAAAATATTATACTTTAGTGCTAATTAATTTTGATGACATAAAAATTAATTATGTCAATTTAATATTTATTATAAATTATTAATAAAATAATTATATCTGTTAAAATACAATTTATTAGTAATTCGTCAATTCGTGTTAAAATATATAAATATTTTTAGTTATCATTTTATATATTAGATTATACATACATTATCCTAATATCTATATATATCATAAATGAGGTTGCTAAAAAACCTAAATGTTTTGCAAGTTGTCTAAATGGTAAAAGATAAAATTTAGCAAAATTATATTAAAACATTAAAAAATCTGCAAAACTTAGAAAAAGATAAACTATATCAAAGTTTATAAAAATGTGAAAATATATCAAAACTTTGTAAAAAAAAAACTAGCGAAATTAAAGTTTAGACATTTTGGCAAATTCAAAATAAGAAATCAGTTAAAAATAACATATTACCTATTAATAACTATACTTTATTAAGATTTTTATTATATAAGAATATATTATTATATTTTATATTATGAGTATTTAGGTATTTTATAGTAAAAAGTGAAAAACTCCAAAAACTTTTTTGAATCAACTGTTAATATTTAATCCGAACTTATTTTACTAAAAACAATTATATTTAGCATATTAAGTAAAAATTTATTTTTTTTTTGGAACTTTTGAAACACTTTTAAATAAGTATCACGTGATGTACCGTACATAGTTGCGGAAATTTTTAATTTTTTTTTCACAGTTTAATAATTTACATACTAAGCAAAAATGGCAGACATTGAAGACAATAATATGACACCTGAAGAACAAGCTGAACATGATAGAAAGGCAAAAGAAAAAGAAGAAGCGGAACAAGCCGGTACTTTCTCTCGGTTAAAAATTTTACTGGGCAAAAATTCAGAATTTCATTTGCTAAAAGAATTTAAAAAAATTTAGCTTTACCTTATAAATGGAAACAAACTTTACAGGACGTTGATATAACTGTTCCTGTTCCAAAAGGAACACGTGCAAAGGATTTGAAAGTTGATATTAAAAAAAAGCACTTAATTGTTGGATTGAAAGGTCAAACACCCATTATTGAGGTATGATTGATTATTGAGACTAATATTTATTATTATTTATGATAAAACTAGTAAATGATAATATGGGATTTTGTAGGGCGAATTGTGTAAAGAAGTTAAAATTGATGATTGTACCTGGACACTCGGTAAGTATTTATCAATTTGTTTTACAAAGATTTATTTTATATGTATCGTAAATTGATTCAATTTCTTTAAATATAGAGGATCAAAAAGAAATTTTCATTCACATAGAAAAGAGTAATCAAATGGAATGGTGGAAGAATGTTATTACCACCCATCCTGAGATTGACACAACTAAAATTCAACCTGAAAATTCAAATTTGAGCGATCTGGATGGTGAAACTCGCGCAATGGTGGAAAAGATGATGGTACACCTTAATCGTAAATTTAATCTTTCATTTATAATTCAATTAATAAATAATTTTTTTTTTCCTTTACTCTAGTTTGATCAACGTCAAAAGAAAATGGGTAAAAAAACATCAGAAGAACTGAAAAAAGATGAGATATTGAAGAAATTTCAAGCCCAACATCCCGAACTTGACTTGTCTAACGCCAAAATCTCTTGATAAATTTGAGTTTTATAAATACATTCTTTTTTTTTTTTTTTGATTTGCATTTTTTAAAAAAGTTCAGTTTATGTAAACTGAGAATTGAGAATTAAATAAAAACAGAGATTTTATGAGGGGGTGACGTGATAAATGTCTAGTTAACTTTGAAAACCAAATTTATTATTCATTTTGTTTTTCGGTCATTGGATACGCAAAATCCTCACCACGATCTTCTAAACGTTTTTTAGCTTCCCTTGTAGCCCACGTTTGTATACTATATAACATGCAATTCATAAAATTAAAAAACAATAATTGTATATTTAAATCGAAGCAATTTTTTAAGCGTATCTTGCCTTGTATCAGGTTTATAAATAGCGATAATGGTTCCCATGAGAAGACTTCCACCCATACCATAAATCCATATATTCTCCCAATAATCTTTTACGCGTTTTTGTCCCGCTGGTAAAGGCTAGCGAATAAAACATATAAAGCATTATTAAAAATTCGCAGTTTTAAACAAAGAGAAAAACTCAGTACTCACTTTTTCACCAAACAGATAGCCACCAGGCTCATTATACTGTGGGTCATGACTACTTGCTCTCCTTAATTGAACTTTCCCAAGTTGCCAATGTAACCTTCTTGCCGCACAAGAAGTTCTTATAAAGGAAAAAGACATTTTTTAAAAAATATATAATAAAATAAAAAAATATGTATGTTATATGAAATTCATTTCGTCACACTATTGTGCCTTGATACTGCGGCACATGTGATTATCATTATAAATACGTAAAAATTGATTTTTTAGATGTTCTTCCTTTTTCATCCAACATTATTGGCATCCGTTCACGTAGTGTCGGCTTGCGTTTGGTTAGTTTAATAATTGGGTCAATTATAGTGAATTAGAATTCGGATTACTTCAAGACGAAAAAAAAAAAAGAAAGAATACAAGAAAAAAAAAAAAAATTTTTATAATGCTGAAGTTTGATTTTCCTTGATAATGTGAAAAAAAAAAAAAAAATTAATTTGATCAGATTATAATTTCTTATAAAGTTGGGAATAGTGTTGTTGAAAACTTATTTCTTTTCTTTTCTTTTTTCTCTTCTTTTTTTTTTTTACAGGAAATATAAGAATTAAAATGAGGGATATCATTAAAGTCGAAGAGTTTACCATTCCCAAGGAAGTAGAAGAAATAAAAGTTAAAGCCCGTTGTATCACAGTTAAAGGGCCTCGAGGAACTTTGACCAAGAGTATTCGTCACATCGACTTAGAGATACAAAAGATCGGGACTCATAAGATTAAACTCGTTGTGTGGCATGGAACTCGTAAACACGTTGCTTGCTTACGTACAGTGAAAGCTCATATTGAGAATATGATTACCGGTGTTACTAAGGTTTGTCAATATAAAAGTATCAAACTCTTTAACAAACAGAACATATTAAAACATTTTCATGATTTAGGGGTTTGAATACAAGATGCGTTATGTTTACGCCCATTTCCCCATTAACGTTCATATTTCTGACACTGGAAATGAGGTTGAAATTCGTAACTTTTTAGGTGAAAAAGTTATTAGACGTGTAAAAATGTTGCCAGGTGTTGAAATTCAAATTTCCGCTAATCAAAAGGATGAATTGATCTTGACTGGAAATGATTTGGAAAATGTCTCCCAATCAGGTATTTTAAAATTTCATGTTAAATCTTTATTAAAATAAAAATTTTTTTTTTCTTTTTTTTTTTTTTTTAATTTTAATTAAATATTTTTTAGCTGCCAACATCCAACAATCTACCGCAGTTAAGAATAAAGATATTCGAAAATTTTTGGACGGTATCTATGTCAGTGAACGTAATACAATAGTTAAAGAGGTTTAAGAAAAACGCGTAAATAAAAATCATTCATTATATTTATGTACTCAAATGAAGGATTTTTTTTTTTTTTAAAGTAATATTCCTTAGAGCTTTGCTGATTTTTAATAAAAATTTATCAAGATAATTTTAATCAAAACAATTCGATAATTCACGTGATCATCGGATGCATTAAAGATTTGTCGCTGCATTAACTCGTAGCTTCATTTTTTTATTTTTAAACTTTGGTGAATTTAATGTCTAGAACACTTGAAAAATTTTCAATAAAAGTTGACTTCCCTGTATACTGTGCAGGTACATATTCCTTTTAAAAATTGTCCTTAGTCTAGGCTTGATGTCGTTATACTTATGTACGCGCATTTGTTAGGATTTACTCCTTCGGGAGAAGTCCTGCTCGGTGGAGGTGGAGGACCTGGTAATACCGGTGTAACTAATAAGTTGGTATGTTAAAAAAGGTCGATTCAAATGCCGAGATTTGGTTGTTCAATATATACATATTTTTGAGTACATTTTTTCTATTTAGGTTTTGCTCAAATGTAAGTTATCAGAGAGAACTCTTGAACAGGTTGTCGAAGTGATATTAGATAAAGAAGAAGACAGGCCAACTTGTATCGCTATGCATAATGAGGTAAAAAAATGTATAAAATTTTTTTTATCATCGATCACAACGGATCGCGTTTTGAATTTTATTTAATTGAATTCGTAAAATCTTTGGATAGGAAAATATATTCACTTGTGGTATCAATAGTACCGCAGAACAGATATTACAAGGATTTAATAAGAATTGTCGAATTTTTGAATATTCAAATGAAAAGTATGTGACGATATAAAATTTTTACCGGCTTCAAGACCTGATTTGTTTATTTTATAAATAAATAAATAAAGTTAAATATATATGTATATTTAGAATAAAGTTAGTTAAGACAGCTCAAACAATAACAAGTACTAATGAGGACGATTATCAGGTAAATTTGATCAAATATATCTCATCAAAAATCATTGAACAAACAATTATTGATAAATCATTTAGAAAGTTGCCGCTTTTACTCAAGATGGCAAATTATTGGCTACCGGTGGTACAGATAGTAAGTTGACCGTTCTGAAATATCCTTCATTAGACGTGGCCTTTCCCCCTGTAAATTTTAGCAAACAGGAAATATACGATTTGGATTTCGATTCAACCGGAAATCAGGCAAGATAGATTCGTTTGATAATTTCGTAAAAATGTTTTGTTTTCTATACGTAATGCTAAAAAATAAAAAATAAATAACCATTCATAATAATAATAATAATAGCTTTTGGTTGTTTCCGTGAAAACCTTGAGAATTCTTTCAACAAAAGATGGTGAATGTATTCATTCAATAGAGAATCCCATTTTCAAAAAATCTTCTCAATGTCAATTTAGGGCATGCCGATTTGGTAAAGGGACATCTGCTGGATTTTTTTATACTGTGGTCAATATGGCCTCGATATCTAAGACATTTCTTGTTAAATGGAATGCTACAACGTTTGAAAGGTGCTCAACAAAAGTTATTGGTAAAAGACGAATCACTACGTTTACAATCAGGTAATTTCCTCAAAAAACTTTTCATTTCTATGATGAATTAATTAAATTAATTAATTATTTATTTATTAAAACAAGTGATAATGGGAAATTATTGGGATATGGAGCGTCCGATCATAGTATTGGAATCTGCGATTCCCAAACGCTGAAGGTTCTTCTTATAGTGCCTAATGTGCATGGATTCCCACCCACTACTATCGCGTTCAACCATGACTCAACTTTAGTTGTAAGCGGATCCGCTGATAATTCCGTTCATATTATACAATTACCAGAAAAATTTAATACCGGTAATTATATTATTACTTTCGTTAATTAATTCTTATTCTTATTTTTGATCCATATACTTATAACATTCGACTTTTTTTTTTTTATTATTTATAGGACTTCAACTTATTTTAATTTTAATTGTAACATTGATTGCTTTAATATTCTATTTCTTTCAGACTTTTGAATTAAATTAATTTAATTCCTAGAATTTCTTAAACAAATGAATAATTACAGTTTAAGTTTCAAACTGTATTATATAATTAATTTGTGCGTAAAGGAAAAGAAGAAAAAAAAATTTTTATTAATACCCAGTAAACTAATTCGAATAAATTAATAATTATAAAAAAAAAGGTTATTTAAAATGATATACCGATGATATACTGAGTAATTCAAATGTTGTAATTCGCATGATATATTTTTCCTTATTATTCAAAAAAGCGATAGCTATAATTAAAATGAAAAAATAAGTAAGTTTTTATTTTTAATAAATTTAAATTTATATCATCCATATTAAATCATATCATAAATAAAACAAAATTTTTTTCAAAAAATATAAATAAAAATGATGCTTCTAATATAATTTTGTGACCTCATTTATTCTTATTTTAATTTTTAATAAATAATTCGTAGATACAATAATAAAAAAAGAACAATAAAAATAAACTAGCCTGAGGATCATGGGAATATATACGTTTGAAAAGAAATATAACTAAGACAGACAGACAGACAATATTAACAGTAAACATTACGCGAATCGTTTTTGGGTCTTGTCCATATTTTCATGAATTCTAGAATAAACTTAATCGATTTTGTTTAGTTTAATAACGTATCGTTTCGTTAACATAAAAAAAAAATTATACGATTATTCTGTAGCCAAGGGTTGGAGTCCTGTCTAGTTTCCTTCTTTTCGTATAAAAAAAAAATAAGAAAACAAAAACAAGCCCCTGCTTAATCGGTTAATTTCACCTCTAAAAGAAGAAGAAAAAAACTTGCAATGTAAGTAGCGTGCGCATCTGCGCACCGTTTCTCACGCGAAATCCCAAATCCCCCTTCGATTCTTTTAGAAATATTATTAATTTTCTTTATCATACATTACTATCCCAAAAAAATTAAAATAGAAAGAGGAAAAAAAAAAAAAGAGCAAACAAAAAGAAATAAATACAAAAATTAAGTTTGCAATTTTATAATTTACCAACCTCATTATCATAAGAATCCGGTGGTGGTACGGCATGATAAGATGAAGATTGCTTTTTATCGTCATACGTCAATGTCGAAGTGTTTGTCATTGCTGACGATGATGTTATCGGTGGAACTGGTGCCGACGTCGCCGTAACCTGATATCCAGCTGAAGTCTGATATCCCGCAGCATTATTATAACCCGAATATCCATAATAATAACCTGCATCAGCGGTCTGCGTGGCAGGTTGAGCAGCTTGCGAATAATAATTGTACTGTGGATATTGGTAATACCGAGATTGATTATATGGATTATATGGATTATAGGTAGCGCCGCTAGTCGGATACGTGTTATTAGCATTATTATATGTGTTTGTCCCGTAAGCGTTCGTGTTATTATTATTATATGGAGTTGATGTCATAGTAGGGGAAGAAACTGGTGCTGCAGATACTGAAGCAGAAGTTGAAGAAGGCTGTGAAGATTGTGAAGAAGGTGTTGGTGGTGGCGGATAGGTTGGTAATGGAGGTTGAGATGAAGAATTATTTGGAGCTGACATAGGTGGAAGTGGTGGTGGCGGAGGTGGCGGTGGTGGTGGATTACCGCTAAGTGGTGGTGGTGGTAGTGGATTACTGTTAAGTGGTGATGGAGGAGGTGGTGGATTACCGCTAATTGGTGGTGGTGGTCCACTAGGTAAAGGTGGATTGGCTGGCGGAGGAGGGTAAGACTAACAAGGGAATCTTCATTAATTTTCACATCATCTTAAAGAATTGAATTGAATTTGTTAGAAACGTAATATAACATACCCCTGAAATTGGTGGTGTAGGATGCCCATAAACAGGCGGACGGGGATATGGAGACCTTCCGTATGTAGGATAAGATGCCTGCTGTGCCTTGTGTCTGTCCCATTCCAACTTTACTGTGTTTATAAGATCTTCGCATAATTTCTTGGCCCTGTCAAGCCCTTCTTGACTCCAACATCTATGAAAAAATAATAAAAAAAAAAACATATATCTCTTGAATTTAATTTAATAATAATTAACCCTTTTCTCATCTACACACGTGATATGAATATGTAACGGTTCAAAAGCTTCCGTTCCCGAAGTAGGTTCGACATAACCAGACCCCCGCCCTTTAAGTTGTACTTTTGCTCCAGTCTCTTGTTGAATATGTTTAACATAAGCACCTTGTGGCCCTACAATTTTTGCTCGCGCATTAAAGGTACGATCAGGTTCGATACCAACAAATACTTTATCCTGAACAAATTGCTTCTATTATAAAAAGATTGTTAAAAAAAAAAATTTAAATTTGGAAGATAGGAAAATCAAATGGATCATAATACATACTCCTCCTGGATGGGGACCGGATGGACGAGGCGTTGTCGTAGGCGGAGGAGGTGCGGAAGATTGTTCCATCAGCTCATTTATTTTACTGACTGCGGCATCTAACGCTTCCTGAGTTGACGCCGTCACGTGCAGAAAAAGGGGCGGATCCTTTTCGGTGGCGAGGAGTTTATCAGGGTAATATTTCCCACGAGTTGTTACATCTAAATAGTATATATAATTTAATTCTCTTTAAAAAATATAATAAGGAATATTGACCAAAAATGTATTAAAATGCAATTACCTGCACCAGTTTCTTTTTGGATCTATAAAAAAATTTATGATCATTATAAATAAATTCTAATCATTATAAAGAAAGAAAGAAGTTATATTTTATTTTTCTTACCATTTGTTGAGTTAAACCTTTAGTCAAAAGGTATCTATTTTTACAATCATTAATGGTAATATCTATAATAAAATCCATATCAGTCTCCTTGATGGGCTGCTTGAGCTGTCTATAATCCTGAAATATTTTTACAAATCGAAGAATGAAATTATAAAGGTGTAGTAATAAACAAAAGGCACGCGTATTCATATTATAGTGTACCTCAAAACCGCTATCGGCTGCTTCTGCTTTAGATGCCGACATGACTGATGATTTCGTTGGAACCTGAATGCCTTTTTTAGCTGCAAGCATTGCATTTATCTTAGCAGCAGCGGCAGCTATTTCGTATTCGAGAATGAATTATAGTAATTTAAAGATTTGCTTGAATGAAGAAATAAATAAAAGAAAAAATATATATATACCAACCCGCTGCAAGGTTGGGATCAAAAGTTTCAGAAATTTGGGAATTCGACGTCGTCGTCATCAAGGGAGCTTTATATTCAGACTCATCGCTAGTAGCTTCTGTTGTGATTGATTTTGGTGTAGGTGCAGTAGCTGGAGGTGCTTTTTTTCCTTGATCATCAAGATCCCACTTACGCTTTCGACTAAAAAAAACACAAATATACCTCAAAAGGTTTTGAAAAAGAAAAGGGAAAGGAAAAAAAAAAGCACACAAGCGATCATAAACTAATATTTTTAAGAAGATTCTATTTACTTACGTTTTACTATAAGACATTGTAGAATGTTAACAAATCAATTTGACAATAATATGAGCGTTAAAAATACGAAACCGTACTTTTAAACAGAAAAGAAAAATCAATTGTAATATAGATGAACAGCTGCAATAAATCGACCAATCCAAAACTACAGCATCACATTATTGGACCAATAGCTGATAAGTTATACATTTTGACAATAAACCGAACTTTTTTTCAGTTTGCTTCCTACGAAATCTGAAACAAAAATGTCTAAAGCATCACAACCAGAATTGAAAAAGTACTTGTTCATTTACGTGTATATAGTTCAATAAAATCATTTTTTTCCTTTTATTATTTTAATATATCAATAATTATTATTATTATATTTGCTAATTAGGTATATGGAGAAACGTTTGTTTATCCAATTGAACGGAGCAAGAAAAGTAACAGGAATTCTACGTGGTTATGATCCATTTATGAATTTAGTATTAGACGATACAGTCGAAGAAGTTTCTTCTACTGAAAAACATAACATTGGCATGGTGGTAAGTGGTTGTATCTTGCAATTAAAAATTTTTTTCACGCAAATTAACATTTTATGTGAACGATAGGTCATTCGCGGTAATTCAGTAGTGATAATGGAAGCACTAGAAAAAATTTGACATATTACGAGATTTTTTGATTGTACGCAATTTTTTTTTTATTTTAAAAAAAAAAAAAAATTTAAAAATCACGTTCCAATACTAGATAGACTCTTTACATTTTAATAAATGATTTATATAGAATCCTACGTTTAAAAAGTCTATATTTTATTTTGCAAAAATGGGGCACAATATTTTTTTATTTATAATTAAATATTACGCGAATTTTAAACATATCAACTAATAGAGTAATATATAAATAGGTTTTATAATTCAGGATATTTGAATTTAAAATATTCTTCATCGAAATGATGAACTCGAACGTAACCATCTTCTCCACCGGAAGAAAAACTTTTGCCATCCGAATGAACGGCAATTGTATTAATGGGACCAAAATGGCCTTTTACACGTCCTACTTCTTCCTCAAAAATTTTGTGCCAAAATCGACATTCAAATTTACCTTGTCTCATTGTAGTGGTGGTAACCTGCATAGCATCTTGTCCACCTCCTAAAATGACGAATTCTTGAATGGGAGTTATGGAGGCAGAATTAAGAGGAGCATCAGTAATGTATTTCTTCAAAGGAACCAGTGTATTGGATTCAAAAATTTGTGCTGATTTATCTTTTGAGGAGGTAATAAAATATGTACGATCTTCAGACATTTGGAGATCGGTAATAACGTCCGTATGCGGTTGGATCGATTTAACTTTTTCACCCGTCTAACAATTTAAATAAACTTAATTTAATATTATGAAATATGACATTTTCCTTTAAAGAAGAAATATATATATATATGAATTTCAAACCTTCCAATCAAATTGAGAAATTGAACCATTTTCATGGCCAATTATTATATATTTGTTGAGATAACCCCAATCAGAGACCATAGCTTTTGAACCTTCTGGCATTATAATCATAATTGGTTCGTCCGATTCTAAAAAAAAAATTTGTGTTAATAATAAAAGAATTTAAATATCACGATGACAATTATCAAGGAATTAAATTACGCTTTGCATTAACATCATTTGCGATGGAATAGATGGTTACAGTTCCTGGAAATCCCATACGCTGTTCAGTTACAAAAAGAGCCATGCAATCGTCTTCGGAAAATGCAACGCGTTTAACAGCAGTTTTGAATTCCCAGGTGTGTAAACAGTTGCCAGTCTCAACTTCCCAAAGTTTCGCAGTGTTATCTGCTGATCCAGTTAATAAGAGAGTACTTGTTGCTAATTTAATCAGAATCAATAATAAATTTCACAGGAAATTAATTTAAAAAGTCTCCAAAGTAAAATCGAATTTAACAATATAAATCAATATTACAATTAACATCAACTGTCCATATTGCACCGACATGACCATTATAGGTCCCTAAACGTTCACCATTATGTGAATACCAAGCGTTCACTACATGATCTTTAGATACAGAAAAGAGAAGATCTCCTTCAGGGTTATACTTGATTTGTGTAAGAGAACGAGTGTGTCCTTGTAAAAGAATAGGTCTCTAAAAAAAAAAAAAAATTGAACACCAGAATAAATGATAATGAAAAGTGAAAAAATGGCTTCGAACATGATGACTTACCATTTTAAAGTTTTTATTGAAAAAAATTTATTTTTGTATCTAAGATTTAAAATTAAAAATTATTTGGCGCGATATTACTACACGTGACAGGCTTACGTGATGACATGTGACACGTATAGATTCGAATTTTAATGTTAAATTATCAACAAATTATTTATTATGAAGTTATAATAATTATATAAATTTTTAAATAAAATAATCACGATTTTTATAGGGCTAGAAAAACTAGGTAAAAAAATAAGAAAAAGGTATATAAAAATATATATATACAACATCGTAACCTAACATTCCTTCAATTACCATGTCTAGCAATGTACAGAAGAAAATAAAAATGTACAATACAAAGAACATGAAAAAAATATAAAGTAAAATAAAAGATTTGAATTAAATAGATTCTGCCCGATTACCAATAATGAAAGAAACATCTATACCTCCAATACAAGGAAAAAATTAATATGAATACCAGTATATCATAATAAAGAAAATTTTTAAAATATGAATGAATATTTCTATATGATGATGAACAGTATAAAAGAACAAGAACAAAATATAGAAAGCTAATACATTTCTAATTTAAATAGTATTAAAAGAAATAAATATATATTAAACTATCTTACAATTTATAATAATCATGATCTTCCATCCTTGGCGGTCTTGAATTTAAGCAAAGGAGCAAGATCTGATAACGGGCAAGCTTTCTTCAGAAATTCATGCTAAGAAAAATCAATAATTTTAATTTGTATAATTATAGACAAGTCGAGTTGTTTTACCAAATAAATAAAATAATACATACTTCTAAAAGTTCCAAAGCAGTTGCTCTGCTTTTAACATCTACACACAAACATACAGCTAAGAAACTCTTGAGTTCTCGAGATAATTTTTCCGGCTTTTTCAATGTTGGGGTGCCATTCGTGGCAATTAGATATAATGCTTTAAGAGGCTCTTCATCTAAGTATGGAGGTTCGTTTTCTATCATTTCAATTGCCATAATTCCAAGTGACCAAATATCTACTTTGGCACCATATTCCTTTTGTTTTACTACTTCAGGTGCCATCCAATAAGGAGTTCCAACCATAGTTGCGCGTTTATTTTTTTGATCGGTCAATTTGGCACAAAAACCAAAATCGGCTAGAATCGAAAATCAATTAGATTAAATGTTGTTTAAATTCTATTGGATTTACAAGTACTTACTAATTTTCACGTGACCATATGCATCCAATAGAACATTATCACTTTTAATATCACGGTGAATAATATTTTGTCCGTGAAGGTGTTGGAGTCCCTTACATGTCTAAAGTGATTTATAAATTAGCTTCAAAAAAAAAAAATTTATATATAAGAAAAGGATTTCCTGAAAGCAAGCTTTACCTCAAAGCATATAGCCGCAATTTGATCTTCTTCAAGAGTATTATTATCAATTACATCCGTTAATGCTCCGCCTTCCATATATTCCATAACTACCCAAAGTTCGTTGCTTTTAACTAAAAAAGAATCAAGGTAATTAACAATATTTGGATGTTGAGATTCTTTCATTACGAGAATTTCATTAACAATAAGCTCCTTTCGAGGTTGATGTGAAAGATCCATCTGTTTAATGGCAACTTTAGCGCTTGTTGTGAGGGACTTAGCAACGTATACAGAACCGGAAGCACTATTCGAATACGTAAGAAAAAAAGTTAAGAGAATTAATACATTTTGATTTGATTTAGAGCAATTTAGTATTAAATAAATTTTAATTCACCCTTGACCGACTTTCTTGATTTTGCTATAGAGTGTAGTTGGATCACCCGACGAAACCACTGATCTCAACTTTTCCATTATCTGTGCTTCAGTCATTGTACTAATCCTTCTCTCTGGTGCAGATTTCTTTGGTGGTTGAGGGCTTGATTGTTTAGGAGGTGCCTGCGTTTGTTTTGGTGGTTGGGCAGTTTCTTGTTGTTTAGGATATTGTTGTATTGGTTTAGGTATATTAGGTCCAGGTACTTGTTGTTGTTGCTGTTGTTGCTGAAGTTGTTGAGGCGGCGAATATCCTTTAGGCGGTTGTTGATTAGACATAGGCGGTGGTGGTGGTTGTTGGTAATTTTGTGAATACTTTTCAGGAACACGTTGTGGTGTTGATGACATCATAGGTTGAGAAGGTTGCTGATTATATAACTAAAAAAAAGTAAAATATATTAATTTTTTAAACGCGAGTCGTCATTATTTCATACTTTAGCTTTTTTGATACAAACAACAAAGCTTTTTTTTTTTTAAATTTCATATTAAAATCATCATGATCCATTTTTGTTGGAATAAAACTTACGGATGGGGAAATTGGCGGAATGGGTCCGGAATTTGGTGGTGGGCGCATATTGTTTGCACTCAGCGTATTTGGCGGTCTTGGGGTGACTGGAGGACGATTTGGTAGAATATCAGGTCGCTATAATCAAAGCAAGTGAAATTTAATAAATTTAATTTAAAGCAAAATTAAAAGAATGACTCGATTACTACTCACAGTATCTTCATAATACATTTTGCGAGAAGAATCTGCAATATCATTTCTGCCACCCATGGTATTATTGCTCATATTGTTTGGTTGTACCATTTGTCTTCCATTCATACTGTTATTACCCATTCCAGTGATCCCACCAGGTGAAATTTTATTCATATCATACCCGTTACCATTAGGATTAGGATTAGGATATAATTGGTTCTTTGCAGGCACATTATTATTTTTTTTCGGTAATAGGTCAGCCCACTTATCATCAGGTTGTGCAGGGAAACCTGGAATGTGGCCTAATATACCATCTTCGTATTCTCTCTCTCTCTTTTGATTTTCTGTATAGAATTCTAACACATCTAAAACTGCTTGAGGATTTTTTTCATAATCCTCTTGAGTGATAGCAGAAGCTGTCAGAAGTTTGGTCCATTGTTCAGGCATGCCCTAGGTTAACACAACAAATGATGAGGGTTATGATGGAATCGATAAAATATTTGCGTATTACATTAATTAATAAACATATTAAACTTACTGTAAACATCCCACTAACTGGATCAAATCCAACATGAATATTATGAGAAAAATTTGTAGGGTTGGATACGCCGCTTAAAGGTGATCGCTAAATTTACATTAAGTTATAAAGCAAAATAATATATAGTTTATATAATTTATATAATGTAAGCATTAAGAGATGCTGTTATTTATGATAATTTTATTAAAGAATTCAGCAAGCTTGATGAAAAAAAAGTTTAATCATAAATTTGGAATTCTTTGATATAGACTTAAAAGAACACTTATAAAAGTTGTAAAAAAAAAAGAACACATGACAGAGAATCAAACATAATGATAATAAATTGCTTACCGTATAAATTTCGTCCATCCAAGAATATAATTCTTCGTCATTTTTGCAAGAAAGGTAATATGTCTTATCTTTTGTTTGAATTTCGAAACAATAAGGTTTTA